CTGCTGATGAAAGGCGGTGGTGTACGAGGTAGACAGTTGTAAGACAGTAATCGGAATGCGAAGTTTTCAATTTGAAACCTTCTGGTAAATTTGATGTCTTCTGTGCTGTTTGTCTGTTGTTTTCTCTGGCCTTTTACAAGTCAGCCCAAGTGTGCTCTGCTCTCAGGTTTGCTGTGTGCTCTCCTGTGTGCATCAGCGCCTTCGGCTTTTTTGTTTTGGGTTACAGCTCTCTAAACACATGTGGTGCCTTGGCAATGGGGTGCTGTGTTCTTTCTTAAAAGCAGAGCTTGTAAGTGTGTGATGAGAAGCGATGCCAGCCTGGTGGCAGAGGGATCTGCAGACCCTCACCGAGCAGCCCAGTTTCAGGGGCTGAGGGAAGCCAGAGACCTGGACTGGAGTCGCAGGCTGTCCCCTCCCCGCTGAAGGGGCCTTTCCTGAAATAGCGTTTTCTTCCTTGTGCCTTATCCTTCCCGTTGCTTTGTTTCTTTAGCCAGTGTTTCTGTTCTGCTTTCTAGGTTTCCAGCAGGTTTCTCAGTTGTCTTCCTACGAAGTCGTAATCCCGCAGAGGTTAGGAAGAGAACGGCGAGAGGCTTCCAATGTCTCCTCAGTGCAGGTATTGGGCAGTCTTAAAAATGCCTTCAGTTTAGTATCTACTTCCTAATACAAAAAACCTTACAAAAGGTATTACATCTAGCAGTGCCTTTAGCCGAGTTGGGGGAAATAAGTCTCTGCTCCAGAGGTTACGAGTCGCTGCGATGGATTTTTGATCTGGGTGTAAAAGTTGAGGGTTGTAACCCCATAATGAGGGTTGTTAAGCACTGGAATGAGTTTCGGAGAGGTGGTAGGATCATTATCCCGGGAGATGCTCAAAATCCGACCAGAGCAGCCTGTGCCAACCCTGTAGCTGGCCCCGCTCTGAGCAGGAGGGCGGATTAGACAACCTCCAGCGGTACTTTCCAGCCCGTATTGTTCTGCTGTAGCTGCGTAACTAAAGGCTGCACACTTCAAAGTATTTGGATTAGACCAACTGTGTTTAGTCACAAGTCTTATAAACATTGGCAGAATTTAATATTAACAAAAATGCCTTGCAATTTATCCCAGCCGTTGACTAGTACTCCTGCTGTGATATTTAACGTAGTAGTCAGGTGATTCAGCTTATCCACTTAATATTTAAGGACCCTAGTTGCTGTGCGTAGCACTTGGCTAACACAAGGCTGTGGAGGTACTGGCTCACTGTGAATGTTCAGGAGTAAAGCTGTATTGTCATTTTCCAGCTGTAAATAAGAGGTTTTCAGTGGAAGTCTTAGAAACAAATAATAAGAAAACCACAAAGCTATTTTGAAATAGCTTCCTTCATGTGACTTTTCCCCAGTTACACAGGAAGGGATGCCAGATTCCGGAGGTAGGGACAATTATAAAAGAGACTTCAGGCTCACTCACACGTGCTTATTCCTGGTGTAGTGCAACTGTCGAGGTTTAAGAAGGAAAGTTGATTAGCTCAGTATCTGGCGATGTCAATGTGTGGACATGGCAGTCATGTTGGCTCTGGAGGGCAGGGAACCAGGGCGAATCCTGATGGCTGTGGTCACCTTCTCATTGCAAAGTCTCGTGGGCTCAGCCAAGGAGCGCCCGCTCCCCTGACCAGCGTTGGGGTACCAGCAAGACGCTCTGATCTGCAGAGCTCTGCATCCCTCCAGGAAGTGGTTTAAATTCTGTTGGTATCCGCTGCGGCTCCAGCAGGGTCTGTGCTGCTGCAGCTGCATCTGCAAAGGCTGAGAGTACAGCTTAGTGCCGAGGTACGGAAGGTGGCAGGAGCGATTTGAATGCTGCACTCATGGCGGTAATGAAGCTCACAGAGACTGTCTTCTGCCGAACTTTTGTTGATGTCAAAGAATGTTTTATTCATTAACATGAGTGAAATGCAACTTTTTTATCTTCAGGACAAGGTGTCGTATGCTATTGAGATAGAGGGAAAAGAATACACGATTCATCTAGAAAAGAACAAGTAAGTGATGAATTTCTTCAGATTATTACATTCCACCTGTTGTGTCCAAATAATGAGCTGGCAGGTTGCATGTGAGTTCTGATTCCTGAGGTTCTTTACGAGAAGTGCAGTTACATGCTAGCTCTGCAAAATCGGCAGAGAAGGCCGGGGAAAGTGGATTGAGTCACACGCTCCTGGCTATCGACCAGAAATGTTGAACTCCTGCAGCCCTGGTGATCCCCTGTCAGTGAAGGAAGCAGGAGTTTGCTCAGAGGGGATCTAGGGAACAGTTGACATGACTCTCTCCATTCACATCTAAAAATAAACAAACTGAACTGTATTTCAAGTAAATATTTTCACTTTCTTCTGGGTTTTGTTTATTGTTTCAGAGTTTTTTTTTTCCTGTCTCAGTAGCACAAGAACACTAATAAATGAGGAAACTGACTCTATATTCAAGGCCTTAATCTTCATAACTTACAGACAATATAGATGTTGTCTGTCTTGAGTTTAGTTTTTAAAGTGCCACTTGCAGCAACAGCAGCTTACCACTTATCAGGCTGTTGCTTCTTAAAACTGCCCTCATAACAGACAAAAGAGACAGAACTATTTAAACGTACAAGTCCCTGGGGATCTCTCGCTGCCACTTGCCAAGCCCCTGACCCTCCGAAACATGGGAATTCGGCTACGCCGTATCAAGGGATTTACCAGTATGGGTCAGCAGTGGTAATCGTGGGGGACTTTCCCAATGCACTTCCTTCCAGAACTGGGGAAGAGAAGTCATATGCAGCAGACTGAGTGCTGTGATTTTTTTCATTTTTATATTTTTTTCCTGCATGAAAGCAAGCTTTTAGCACAATTTAATGGGCTTTGATGTTTGTTCTCCTTATCTGGAGTGAGGTGGTGGATTTGATTTCATAAACGGTTCTGCCATTCTGATGTCTTGGATTTTGCTGTGGAAATGCACAATTTCTTTGTTAATTCTGGGGGGTTTTCCTTCTCCCCTTTCCTTACAGAGAACTGCTGCCTAAAGATTTCACAGTTTATACCTATAATAAGGAGGGGAAGTTACAATCTGAATATCCAGATATCCAGGTAGGATTTCTTTCTTTTTATACCCTTACTGAAGGTGACTTGAACACTGAGCATCTACAGGATGAGGGAGTCATGTGTTAGCAAATTATAGTTGTGTTTTTCGCTGGGCCACCTTCTAATGCCGTGCACACGCTGCGCTGCCTGGAGACAAGTCTGGAGCTTGTAATAGACCCATATTTTCTTATGCGGAGGTGATTGCTGTCTAATTAAAAGCTCTTCTTCTCTGAAAAGGAAATGCTCTTCTTCGCTGACTGATGCCTCGTCATCTGAGAGTGATGCTGTGGTATCGCTTCTGCACACCGGCCTTGCTTCTCACGGGGACCAGAACACACGGGGCAGAACTGGGGTGGTCTGGTGGCTGAACATACAGCTCTGACTTGTGCACACAATGCTCTTCCAGATTGGTCCACAAGTCACAATGAACGGTCAGCTGCTGACCCATCTTTTCCGTTGTGCGAGGCTGGTTGTTAGTGACTCTAAGAATTTTTGAGGGTTGACGGGCTATCCGTTAGTCCAGAAATTTGGGAACTACTAGAAGGAATGGATGAGATCAAGTCTGGAGGACCTTTGAGAAGGAGGTTATCTGCATAGCATTGGAGTTATTCCACAGAAAAAGCAGTTGCAGCCCTCTTTTCTGTACAGGCAGCCTGCCTGCTAGGTTGCCTTTGAAAATTTAATTGCTTCTGTAGAATAAGAGTAAACAGCAACTCGTGTGATACAAAAGCACGAGAGTATTTCTGATGGCTTCACTCTTCTGATGTATCAATGTTGTTCCTTTGAAAGGGAAGTGTTAGTCATGTATGATTCATAGGATCTTGTTTTTGAAAACAGAGCACCTGAGTCAAGTGTGTATTTACTTCCTAGTTAAAAGTGATTGACTAAGGGGAAAAATGCTTTTTCTGCACGAGGTCATGAAAGTCACCGCGGCCCTGGAGGATTAGCACATGCCTTCAGTGCTTTCTGCGTTCATTGCTGAAACAACAACCAACATAATCTACCTGACCCCTCTAATAACAGTCAAAAATGCACTTGCCAGAGAAAATGGAGTGTATTTGCCCCATACTACCACCTTGTCCGGTTTCCAAAATGTGCAAAACAGAAGTGCTCTGTCTTGTCAGGGCTGACGAGGGTGCAGCCAAAGGGTTCGGCAGCGCAGCGCCTGTTGGTGAGGAAAGCTGGAGGGAGGTTACGTACGAGTCAAACATTCTGAGGGCTGTTTTCTAGAAGGCTGAATGGTGATTTGGCCCAAATCAGCAGGGAGGGGCTGGCCTCAAAATATTTGAGGCAGGGTGGAGGACAGAAGTGAAGAGGAGGGTGGCTTACTGTCAAGTTAAGAAATCCAGTTGCTGGACGACGCTGGAGCCCCGCTTGCTGGGTATTTAGAATGTGTTGGCAGCAGCAACTCTGAATCGGCGTCAGGTGGAGTGAGTGAGTGGGATTTGCCCCCGCCGTGTGTCATGAACGGCTGTCCCCGCGGAGCTGGGAAGAGCATCTGCTCACAGCGGAGGGAGGCAGGGGTGCAGCTGGAGCGCTGTGCCCCTGGCATCCTTGCTGGCTTCCTGCGCGTGAGTCCTTGGGGCACTAAGGCAGGTGAGGAAGTTTTTAGATATACGTTAGTGAAGGAAACGCCGTTACACTGTGGTGGAGCTAGAGGCAGGTTTGAAGCTATACACTGTAGATAAAAGGCATGTGATAAATTTTAACTTAAAGCATATTATGTTCTCAAGTTGTAACTACTGCTGGTCAGCGGCAGGCAGAGCAACGTACGCGATCAGAGATCACCCTGGGTCTGCAGATACGCGTGGCGTATGAGTAACGCGCCCTTCTTTTCCCGTGTAGGATCACTGCCATTATCAGGGCTACGTGGAGGGGACCCTGGATTCTGTGGTGGCTGTCAGCACTTGCTCGGGGCTCAGGTAGCACAGCTCGTCTTTTGTGTCCCTGTTGTCACGTGAGTCTCGTGGCTCACTGAACCTGAAACAACATTCTTGCTCTGGTTTTAACTACTGTTCAGCCAGGCGGGGATTCATTGACCGGGGCCAAACCACAATAGCGTATGCCTTTGTGCAGTCTTTCTGTGGCTAATAAATATTTGAAAAACCATTAAATAAGTTGCAGGCTTTTATCAGAGTACAGTAAGTCGTTCTTTGACACAAATTTTGGCTTATTTTCTAATTTGGATAGATGGTCACTCCAAAGAACTGTACATAGTGCAAAAATGGAAAGTCGAACACTAGTCTGCAAATTTTACAAAACTGGCCCTAAGGCTTGCGCACTTCAAATTGAATTAGAAATGTTTTCTGCTTTGGGCTAATTTCCAGTTCTTTTGGGACTTTGTTTTTTTGCAGCACCATGTCAGACACCAAAGTGGCAATAGTAATTGAACTAGCGCATTTCTGCATAAGGCCTGTGACTTAATTTCTTGGACATCACAAACTTTTACAAAAATGTTTAATTTGCGGTATTTGTGAAGGCCGTATCCAGTGAAAGGCTGCGCTCATGCTGGAAATGAAGCATGCTATTTTGCAAAGACTGAGATATAGACATGCCTTTAGTTATCAAAGAATAATCGTTCCTTTGTTTTACTGCAGAAAATCTGGGTAACTATCCTCTGTGCTTAATGCAAGAATTTCTCACACTACCATATTTTAGGGGTCTGGTGACAATAGAGAACATCACCTATGGAATTGAGCCCATGGATTCCTCTTCTGGCTCTAAACACATTTTATATCGATTGGATAACGTGAAGAGAGAGCCCGCGATGTGTGGGGTAACCGCCGAAGACCATGAAAGGGAACACGCAGAGGAAAATCACCATCCCAGTATGACTCAGCTCCTGCGAGTAAGGACTCCGCTGTTTTTTCCACAGTCCCCTGTAATGCGCTTGTGAGTGTTCGGCTTAGACTATGGAAGCAGCTTAGCAGATTTCCTGGGGTTTAGCACATACCTAAAGGTTTCTGTTTCAGAGGGCTTTCTACGCTGCTGAAAAACTCAGTTGCTTCAACAAAGCAGTTGCAATTTTCTTCTGCATCTGCACGCAGAGTGAGAGTGCAGTGGCTAGTTAGGTTATTCAGGGGCAGAGGTTTTTTGGGGCTTGTAAGGGCAGGAGCAGTACCCTCCTTGGAGAGACTCCTTAACAAAGTATTGCATCTGAAGCCAGGAGAGTATTGTGTTGTTTACTCCATTCTCCTGACCATCAGACTAACAGTTTGGGGTGAAGGTCCCCTTTGTCGTTTAAAGCCTGGCTGTACAGGAACAAGACTGCTGTAAAAGCGGGACTGTGAAAAACACTGTGTATCTTTCTGCTCCTTTATAGAAGTGTGTGCTGTCTTTCCAGAGAAACCCATGTGAAAAGTAAAAAGGTCGCTTGCTTTTGAAACATGGAAAATCTTTGTGCAGCTAAATTTTAGTGTAAAACACCAATAGAGAAAATTTCATTGTGTTGGATTACACTTCTTGGTTTTGGCTTGTTTTTGTCATGGCACGGTGTGCTTTGGGCGTGTCTCTCAAACCACTAGTTGTATCACGTGAAATATGACAATGTCATGCATTTTTTTTTTTTTGTTTGCACTTGAATTAATAAATTTGAAGTTGTCTAAAACTTTTTTCTGCAGAGCAAGAGAGCGGTCCTACATCAAACAAGATATGTGGAGCTGTTCATAGTTGTGGATAAAGAAAAGGTAGGGGCTGTGTGTCGCTTTCCTTTCCTTCTCTCCAGGAGATGGCTTGAAAAGCCCTTAGTCTTGGTTACTCCCAAATGGATTGCTGAAGGAGTCTGACACTTTATGCAAATATGCTAACCTAAAACTGAACAGAAGTGTTCTATGCAATACTCTTCAGGAAAAGAGTAAACTGTCAGACATGGAGAGTTTCTATCAGCAAGGAATCTAATAATGTAAGGAAAACGCGTGCCAAAAACTGCCTTTGCTGTTTTCTCCTGCGTATTGAGCTGTTGAGCAGTAGCAATGAAGATGCTGCTGTCTTGAGTAACACCTTCTAAACAGGAGATTTGGAGCCAGGCAAAAATGTTTTTCATGTTACAAGTCTTAAAACATTTTGTTCCTTTCTCTAACTCTTGTCTTTATCTCTTTATGACTAAGTTTCTTTGTCTTGCAGTTCGAAGATTTTGGGAAGAGTGAGACAGAAGTAAGAGAACACATGGTGCAACTGGCGAACTTCCTTGACAGTGTAAGTTAAAGCTACGCTGAGCGTCTGTGGGGATGACGCTGTGCGCAGCAGCTCTGCAGCGCTCTCTGCTTGGGTAAACTTCCACTGTGGGGTCGGTTCTGTTACCACTTTGATGAGAATGAAATAAAGGTTTTTATCAAGCCAGGAGCTAAACCCGTTCCCCCGGCCATCGTGTTGATGGCAGACAGAACCCATGTGCGCCTGCACGTTGTGGTGAAGGAGTGCCGGAGGAGCAGGGGCTGCAGAGCGATGGCAGTATTTATTGACAGGAGCCTTTGGTGAATGTGTCACTATGAAAGCTTTTCCACCTCTAAATTAATCTGCAGTCATCATACTTGAGAATTAATTTAGGGAACTCTTCTAACCTGCATTACATCCAGTGAGTGACAAGACAGATTGTTGCAATTATTGCAATTCTTGTGTATGTGTAAAGGGTAGAGAAAAAGCATGTCTTCCACCTTGACTATTGCAGATGATGCTATTTGTCAGGATTGAGACTTGTTTTTATTTCTGTTTTGGATTTATTTTATAGTATGGCCAGTGTGGCATTTAACCATTGATCCTTTAGCTAATGAAAGTCTAAATCACAGGCATTCTGGTGATTTGAATTGTTTACTAGCTTTTAAAAAAAGAACAAACCCAAACAGGAAAAGTCTTGCAATAAGTTACATAACACCGGACCACTTGTTCTTATCTGAGGGTCTTCAGAAATATTTCTCCTTTTTTTTCCTTCCCCAGATGTACATCATGTTGAACATCCGCATTGTGCTGGTTGGTCTAGAGATTTGGAAGTATGAAAACATAATCAGCACAGATGGAGGTGCTGGTGATGTGCTGGCAAATTTTGTACAGTGGCGAGAGAAGAATCTTGTTTTGCGCCGGAGACATGACAGTGCCCAGTTTGTTCTGTGAGTTGCAGTTCCTTCCCTTGGACTCTTAAGAAGCTTATTCTATTCCTGTCTGCTCAGCCGTACTGTAGTATCAAAAGTAGCCGCTGTATTTCCGCCGGGAATCCGGTGCAGTCTGCTGTGGTTTGTGTACTTGGGAAAACATTCCCAGTCAACTTAAGCATTTTTAAGTTTTCTGTGGTCCTTGAATTCAGTGTCCTCTCTGACAGGTATATTGCTAAATAACAATTTTTTTTTCTTGTTCCACATATCCTGCAATGTTACATGTTGTATTGTATAAAGCTTCCGTTCAGATAATCCTTTGTCAAGTTGTACACTGGTTAGACCTGTAATCTAGGGCTTTTTCCACTTGAACGTGAGCATACACCTGGTTGAGAGCATTACATTTTGATGGAGAAAATGTTGTTTCTGAGTTGGTATCCAGAAGCTAGCTACGTGGTTTGAGCTTTGACACGTGACGTTAATCTCTCCGTTCCTGCTGCCTTAAACTAGCACAGAGCTTCCTGAGCTGTCGTCTCTGCCCCGCTTCCAGGACGCGTGCCCCTGTGCACTTCCCGCTCCCGTAGATAGCGCAGCCGTAGGAAGTCGCTGCCCAAAGTATGAGAAAGGGCAAAGGGGAGAGCGCTGCTGCGCACGGGGCGACCGCCCAGCCTGCCTTTGTGCAAAGCAGCAGCTCCCCTCCCCGCAGGAGCCGAGTGCCTCTTCTCCTCCGAGGCAGAACAGCATCGTTCAGGTGATGAGGGTGAAATGGCAGAAAAAATATTAGCTTTTAAAATTCTTGGGTGCATTGTGCTGGTGCACTTAAGCTTTCAGTGTGTAGAAACAAGAGAGTAATGAGAAGGAAGTTGACAAGGAAAGAAATCTATGGAGTTTGGCAACAGTAGAAAGGCAGCTAACAGGCAATTAAAACAAATTATTTTAAGGGTGGGCCATTTAGTTTCTATTTAGAGGGAAGATGCAGAAGAGCGTGACTTTCTCTGCAAACTCTTATCTGAGTTTAAAAGAACAAAGGAACCATGAACAGAAGGCTAAAGCTGAACTGGTACATTCATACCCGCAGTCAATAGTAGTGCTCCTGGAAAGCTGGAAAAGCAGTACTTCGTGCCCCCCAGGCAGAAGCGATGTACTGAGTGGCTGTGCGGATGGGCTGTGGTGGTGGCAGTATCATGTGTCTGCGCAGTCGGGATGATCGCCTTTCCTTTTTCTCCCCGTGACTGTAGGAAGAAGGGGTTTGGTGGCACAGCTGGAATGGCCTATGTGGGAACAGTGTGCTCCAAGAGCCACGCAGGAGGCATCAATGTGGTGAGATATCTTTAGTGATAGTGTGAATGGGACCAAGATACGAGTTTTGCACTCTAGAAGTCTTCCTGGAAGTGCACAGTCTTTAATAACAAAGCTGAAGTGGCTTAGTGGGGGCTTTTATGTGGTCCCCAACCATTTCTGGCACTTCCATGGTATCTGGATCACCACTTTTCTGGAGTCTTCTGCATCCTCTCCTCAGCCTGCCCTCTCCTCTGTGTGCGGCACTCATGAACAAGGGACAGGATTCCTCTGCTGACATTTTAAGAACCCCTGCCTTAGAAGCGTGAGGAGCTGTGGGTGTTCTTCTCAAATCTGTCCTCTGGTGTCCGCCTGACCTGCACAATCATGCACTCCTAGAGCAGTGCCGGTTGACTGCCCTCTTTATGCGAAACTGCAGAGCGTTAATGAACTGAATTGCTGATCTCGGATAACTGGCAATCCCAGCACTTGCTTTCTTGGACTAGTGACAGAAGGACTGGAATTGGAGTTTGCATATTTAAGGAGATTTGGGCTGGGGTGGAGAATTCTAGTTTTTGTGTTAATGTTGCAGCTGCGCTGGAAAGTGGAGGTTGTTAGGTAGCGTCCCAAATATGTGTATCTAAGGGCTCTTATTACTAAGCGAATGACGGGCTGGAAAGCAGGCACAGTTGGTCTGAGAATCCTGTTCATGTAGAGACAGAATGACAGAAGTCATTTGGCACATAAGTAAACACTGACTTTTTCAGTATAAGCTGTCTGCTAATTTTCTGCTGGTTTTGTTCTTGTGCAGTTTGGAAGAATCAGCATACAGATGTTTGCATCAATTATGGCTCATGAACTGGGACATAACCTGGGGATGAACCATGATGACGAACGTGTCTGTCACTGCGGAGCAAGCAGTTGCATTATGAGCTCTGGAGCATCGTAAGTAACTGACAAAAGGGAAAGTGTTTTCTGAGGGTCAAAACTCCCCACCCACGCGCTTAGTTTTTACAGGTGGCTTTCATCTTCAAAGTGCTCTTGCAAAGAGTCGTGTCACACTTGCAGCTCATGGGGAAAGCAAATGTTACCCTTGTTCTGCAAACCGAGGGAATGCTTGTGGGCTTAGTGTAAAGGTACGCTTCCGTTCTCTGTTGCAGGGGATCGAGGAACTTCAGCAGCTGCAGTGCAGAAGACTTTGAGAAGCTAACTCTTAACAAAGGTGGAAGCTGCCTGCTCAACGTTCCCAGGCCTGATGAAACCTATAGCGTCCCATACTGTGGGAACAGGCTGGTAGATGCTGGGGAGGAGTGCGACTGTGGTTCACCAAAGGTTAGTTGTGTGTTTTACACGTGCTGCCAGGGTCGCCTTGCGTGCCCCTCGCTGGAGAGGGGACGGTGCATGGCAGAGGGTGCCGTTTCTTGACACTCACAGCACTTCTGTTTTCAGGAGTGTGAAAGCGATCCTTGCTGTGAACCAGGTACTTGCAGACTCCGCTCCGGTGCTGAATGCGCTTATGGTGACTGCTGTAAAAACTGCCGGGTAAGAGACTCGGGCGTATTATTTGGAAGTGTTCTTCAGTAGCTGAGAAAAGGAGAGCATTTGCCTAGTCAGTGCAGCTGCGAGAGGGGATTGTCGTGCACGTACACCGAGGGATTCAGATCAACGCCCTTTTTTGGGGGACGTTGTGGGTTGGGTGCAGCGTTCGTATCTGCTGTAAGGTTTCTGTTTGCTGACACGGTTTCCCCCTTCTCTCTCTCTTTAGCTCCTTCCTGGAGGAACAGAGTGTCGGGCGAGTAACAATGAGTGTGACCTCCCAGAGTACTGCAACGGCACGTCCCAGTTCTGCCAGCCGGACTTCACCGTTCAGAACGGTCACCCGTGCCACAACGAGGAAGCCTACTGCTACAATGGCGTTTGCCAGTACTACGATGCACAGTGCCAGGATATCTTTGGCTCAAGTAAGGAGGAGCACAGCGTTACAATTCTTCTAGGAGATGTAGCTAAAAGAATATACTAAGTATATTTAAAATATGTTTACTTGTTTTCCTGTAACAAAGACCAGCTGGCTTTGGCAAAGGATTCAAAACAGTGGTATTTATGGCTAAGCCTTTACGCATTCTGCCGTTGTTACTACCGTAGTGCTGGTGATTCAAGTAGTAATTTTCTTGCACTGACCATTCCTGTTACAGCCCTATACACCAGAAGCCCCACTGTAAAGAAGCCATGAAGAAATACCAGATGGTATAACTTACTCAGTGTTAGTGACTATTTTTCTCTCTCTCTTTTTCATCTTGGAACCTTGTAGCGCTCACACTTTCACCTCTCTTGTTTTGAGCTAGTTCTTAAGCTCTCTGTGCTGCATGGAAAACACTAGGTGTGGTGGGATAATTGGGCTGGGTAAAGAAGATGTGCTAATGTGAGATGTTTCTGTCCCTGTTTAACGTGGTTTCTCTGTCTGGGGGATGGGCTGTCGTTTGCAGAAGCCAAAGCAGCGCCCAAAATTTGTTTTACTGAAGTGAATTCCAAGGGTGACAGATTTGGGAACTGTGGTTTCCATGGCCATGACTACAAGAAATGTTCCAGCTGGTGAGTTGAGCCCAGTGCGTCAAAAAGTTCCTAAATGTATCGCTGAGAATCCTTATTCAGGTGCTGCAGTATTGGTTTGGGGGGTTTGCGCAGGTGCACTGGGGCGAGACATGTTATCCCATAATTTAGTCTCATTGACATGAGTGCATCATTGGGAAACCACAGTGAGATGGCTGAGAAAAGATGTGCTTTATCCTAATTTTTGAAGCTGCTGTTAGCACTCAGCTCAAAGCCCCCACGCTTACTCAGTTGTAAGTTTTGTTGACTTTTGGTTTAGATTGTCTGGCTTTAACTCTTGCACATAATAGTGGAAATCAGTTTGAATATTCAGGCTGTTGCTCTGTAACGGAGTTTGAAGGTCTCAGGCTCGTGCCACAGTTTCCCCTGCGTGCAGTGTTCTGTGGCCTCAGTGTGTCACGCGTCCAGACACGGGGCTACGGCAAGGAGAGTGTGTTCCACATCTGCTGTCATCGATCGTTCTTATCCTAAGGTGTTCACGTGCAGAAGAACGAGCAGCAAATTGTTGTGTTTTCTTTAATGTAAAGGTCCCTGCAGGTTGCAGAAAGAAGGGATAAATCCCTACTCTGGCAGCACCGAAGCGAGGCCCAGCTCAGTTTTTTTTGGCGAGTTGCCTCAATTTTATTTTCAAGTAGTGTCTTCCGGTAGAAAGAAAAGATCATATCAAATGTGTGATAGTCTCGTTCTCAGAATAAATTTAAGTGCCACTACAGTATTCATATGTTGATGTTGTAGGAATGCCATGTGTGGGAAGCTGCAATGTGAAAATGTGAAAACGATGCCTGTTTTTGGAATTAAGCCTGCGATTATCCAAACTCCCATTGGAGACACCACGTGCTGGGGTGTAGATTTCCAGCTAGGCTCTGATGTCCCGGACCCGGGAATGGTGAATGAAGGCACCAAGTGTGATACTGGAAAGGTAATTAACAATTAAAAAGTGATTTCTTACAGTAATAATTTGGGGGTTTCATATGAATAAAATTTTCAGCTGCATTTTTTCATGACTGTTAATTTTTTTGGTGCCTGTAGTTAATGCAAAACTGAGCGAGTCCGTTGGTTCCCCACACTGCGTAGTACTGCAGCGTACGTGCAGAAAAAATTTAATGAGCCTTTCATTTATAGATGCAGCAAAAGAAATTAAGTAAGTTAAGAGCCAAAATCTTAGCTCTGCCAATGAGCAAGAAGAGCTAGGCACACACTAATGCCTTTAAGGCAACTTTCAATTAAAATCCAACGAAATCAAAAAGCCTAGAAGCTTACCCCAGCAGAGGAACGTGCGTTCCACAGATCCTTACCGTGCACACTTTAATTGCTGTCCCCTTACATTCAGACTGGAGACAAAAGACGTGCGGTGACAGTTCAGCCCCCTTGCAGAGAAGCCGTTGGTAGCGCAGTGTTTCAGTGGAGGGGGGCTCTGTCGTGGGGGCTCTCTCACGGGGAGCGGGGGGCTCTCGCGTCCGAGTAGGAGCGTTGCTTTGTGGTCAGCGAGCACGGGGTGGCTGCGGAGCCGGGGAGCGCGGGAGGGGGAGGGATGTCAGTGAAGTGCCCTCGCGCTCCATCGGTGTGCGTCTCCGCTCCCCTAGATCTGCAGGCACTTCCAGTGCGTGAGTGCCTCCGTTCTGAACTACGACTGCGACGTGGAGAGGCAGTGTCACGGGCACGGGGTGAGTAGAGCGGGAGCCTCCGCTCCTGCTGACAGTCCACTCGCGACCAACGCTGCAGTGTTCCTACATGGGGTCCTCTGCCATCTTTGTTACAAGGCTAGAGTTTTAGCGCCAGGGACTGTGCAAATACGTAAACGGACTTTTTTACTCAGAAGTCCCAGTTTGAGCCAGGCACACGGTAATTGTGTTTAATCAGTAGCGTTTCTATACTAGTCTTTTTTGCACCTAGGAAGTCTTTTGCTCTTCTCTGTTTAAGGCTGTAAATAAAGCGGAATAGTGCTAGATGCAGTGATTAAAAGAATTCTGTGTGGTTCTTAAGGATGGGTTTTACTGTAAAAAGCTGCTTTGTGGTGCTGTTGATGAGAAAAGTGCCTTTAACAGTCAGCAAAAATTGGGCTAAAGTTATCTAAGTTGAGAAAGTTTTAAAATGTGGATAGTAACTTAATTATTTTTGTTTTGTTTAACTGTAAAACTCTCTATAAAATGTCTCTGGGCAAGATAACCCGTAACAGTATCAAAAAAATCTTTGACAAAAGCTCTAAAGATGATATTTTTTTGCCAGGCAAGAAGAATTCCCAATTCCAGAATTACTAATGTAATTTGAAACTCTGCATCTCATAGGAAAAAAAAAAAAAAACAACCCACCAAACCCAAAAAGCAAAAGCCAGCTCTTTAAGCCGTTGGGATAGCTAATCTTTGGAAGCTCATCCTGAACAAGGCTGCGCTTGCTCAGTCACGTGAAATCTGGAGGCGCCTGGCCAGGGGCTGTCTAGAGTGGCCGTGGGAGATGCCGGTTAAAGTTCTCCAGGCTGAGTGATACGAAGGGACAGAGTAGGTGGTCATGGCTACCGCGTGCTGCTTTTACATATGTGGAAACTGAAGTTACTGTGATGTTTGTGTTGTTTGAACACAGGTGTGCAATAACAACAGGAACTGTCACTGTGAAGCAGGCTGGGCGCCCCCGTACTGTGACACTAAGGGCTATGGAGGCAGTCTGGACAGTGGCCCTCCTTACAACGGCAAGTGGTTGCGAGGCAGCCCCGGGGCTGGGGCCTGGCTCGCTCGGGGAGGGGTTGGGCTCGTGCGGGGCACCCGGTTCCTCGGAAGCCGCCGCTTGTGGCTGGAGTGCTGGCGATCGGCTCTTCACCAGGTTTCATTTGCAGACAATTCCAGTTACGGTTTTGGGCTCGGGGTGTTGCACTTCTCTCTTTTGGGGTGCTGGGGAAAGATCCTGGGCTGCTGTACTTGCCTTCTGGTGAATTCTGCCACCTCGCACCAAGATCCTCTTGTACTTCTCTGTGTCCAAGCTGGAACTGAAGCCCTTTCCATTCTTAGATCCAAACAAAACATGAAATTTGGCTGAGGATGTGGGTTCAGATCCATGGATGCGAACCTGCATCTCCGTAAGGACGTGCTGCTTCCAGCAGTGGCGGCAGAGAGTGCTGGTACCCGCGGGTGGCTGCGTGTGCGCCTGCGGTGCGTCGGGACTAACGCCCGGCCGAGGTGGGCTAGGGCAGCGCCTGTTGGCAAGTCACTATGTTAGCAATGTTTATTGTTTGAGCACAGACAGCGTGCTTCGTCTGGTAGTAAATACAAATGTAGTCCCTGCCCCAAACAACTTAGAGTTTAGAAGGGAGTTACGCAACAAAGAAATGGGGGGATAAGGAGGTTTGTGACACTCTGTTGTCTGCAGACTTTCAGTTTGCTTTTTTTCATGGAGGGGAAAAGATGGGTTGGGGAGGGAATTTGGGTTTTTTTTCCATGTAGTTTTTTCCCAGGAAAGGTACTAGATGAGTGTTTGACACGGCAGGGTGATGTGTCTGTGCACGTGGAAGGTATGTGTGTCTATGTTTGAATGTGAAGTGTGGGGAGATGGTGCCTGGGAGAGGGGAGCACGATTCGTGCACGTGAGAAAGCAAACTGAAAGAGGCTGTGAAGCTCATTCTTCTCACCGACAGTTTGAAGGTGAAATAGGAAGCCAAATCCAAGTTATAATTTGGAGAAAATGTGTGCAGTGCCCATGTGGAGTGTATAAAGATTGGATGTAGTTCCTTCTATGAGCTGCAAGAATGATCTCGAAGACTGTTTTCCATACGATGGTGTGGGTTTGGGGGGAGGCCAGACACTATGTCAATGCAATAAGAGACTGGAGAATCACATTGGAGCGTGGACAGATGCCTCAAATCATCGGACAAAAAAGGGAAAGGCTTTTTTTGTACAGTCTGCAGCAGAGAATGGAGATTGTTAGGAACCTGAGTTCTTTGCCTACTGCAAACAATGGTAGGAGAAGAGGAAGATTTAGGATCAGACCAAAGGGCAGAACCTCTGTTTTTGTCTCTCACAGTTGAGCTCGTAAGATCTCACAGTAATGCAGTGGAAGAAAAATTAGGTATTGATCTCATAATTCAATACGCTGTTACACCCCAGGGTATCAAGGCACGTACAGTTCTTTTGTCTTTGCCCAGACGGTTCCTGTGAAAAGATAATCAGAAAAGAATATATTTGGGCATATATCTTGCAGTCTTACAAGATTCTGTAGTTTTTTCTTCTATGAAAAATGGAAAATAGTGGTAGAACCAATGCTTCCAAATAGTCACTGCTACAATGAGTCAAGTGGTGGTAATGCCATGTAATACTTTTCTTCTTCTTCGTCATTTTGTCCCCATCAGACAAAGACACCTCGCTGAGAAATGGGCTGCTGGTGTTTTTTTTCCTGGTCCTCCCACTCCTTATAGCTGCTGCTCTGGCATTTGCAAAAAGAGACAGGCTGAAGCGATGCTATAGAAGATTAATGTCACGCTGCCATTCGTAAGTATAGTCTCCGTTTTACCTTCCCCTCTGCCCTTTCGAAGGAGTCCGTAGACGTTTTTACACAGCCCAGTGCCGAAGTGTGGGGGCATATCCCAGTCCCAGGGAAAGGCCCCCGCATGAAACAACACACGTAGCTTGCCCCAGGCAATGACAGAAAAGGTAAATTCATCTTAAATTGAGCAGAGAACTTTCTTTTTACCATTATGTTTGTTGTCATGCATTTGTGATGGGGTTTTTATTTTTGGGTCCCATATTTGGTATGAAGTGGCAAAATGAAGCTGTCGCAATCCGAAACAGAAAAACAGTTAAATTGTTTATTAGATATGTGGCAACTGCTATCTTCCTGACATTCGATATGTGCTAAGATGGTATAAATCCATCTAAGGGGTTTGAAGCACTTGCATTCATAGCCTGCGTAGTCATTCTTTCCAGGTGATACGCTCACACGGTCCGTATCAACTCCATTTCAGGTCACTTCAGTCACCACCTCCGAGAACAGAAGCCGAACCGAGAGACTACCACCACCGGGGCTTCTCACACGGCATGCCTTATGCGCCGAGAGGTGTTCCCATGGTAGGAATGATCCACTTTCCATTACTCTATTTTCTGTCTGTTAATCTAAAGTAACAGATGAAGACAGTTTATATAATTTTTGCCCTAATAAAAGCTTCAAAGTTACTTTATGTTTTCATTTCTGCAAATCGGGTTTTCTCTTTGCTAAGAGGCAAAGAGAAGAATTATTTCCGAAGTGCGTACAGGGAACTCCTCAGTTTCCCGCTGTTGAAGCGCTCTCAAGGCTGTGCGTGCCTTGGCAGGCAGTTACCTGCTCTGGTGCCCCTTCCCCTGGCGCTGAGCCCCCAGCCCAGCCGAGGAGGGAGCGGTCCCTGCCAGCTCCCCAGCCCCACTCCTCTGCAGAGCAGTTCTCTCTCTGAATGCAGTAACAAGCCAAAGCACCCTTGCAGAACAAATCAAACGCTTGCCGTGATCAGCCTTTCTGGCTTTTTACAAAATATAGTACTTCTCAGGCTGCTGTTGCTTCTTTCTACTGAGTTTCTCAGAAGGAAAAGGCAACTCTGACGCTTCCAGGTTTGTTTGCGAGTGGTCTTAAATCTCACTTAACTCACGAAACACATACTTGGATTCCCTACGTGCAAATTTGTGACCGTTCTCATTATGTTTTCTTCGTAGGATATGGAACGAAATACTTTTCCTGTCCCATCTTACCCAGTTAACCAGCATCCTCAGCAGGCTTACCACCAGTCTTACTACCCGTCTCCGCAATACCAGGCAGCGCAGCCGCAGAAGATGCCGACAAGGTTGGTCGAGTTACTGCAAATAACTATTGGCAGTTGCGCGGATTTGTACAGATTGTCATTGCCTTCATCTCTGTAAGCATTAAGGTATTTCATCACGTGTCATACGCAAGCAGGACTGACCTTTTATTGGAAGAAGTTTCTCCTTCGTTCCGCTCTGTGGAACTGAAGTGCTATTATCCACAGCATTCATTTTACACACTGTCACGGCCACATTTTGATTAACGGGTTCCAGAATGCTTTTCTGGGGCCAGATTAGCCCTGCATACAGGTGAATAAAATGCTTCTCAAAATAGGCAGTTTAAAAAGAAATTGCTCAAAAATCTGTCATAGTGCTGATTCCTGGACTTTATTGCCATTGCCAAGTACAGGATCATTTCTCATTAACTTTGAACAGAAAGTTTTCCTTTATTTTTCATTTTACTTTTTAATTATATCTCTAAGATGTAAAGCCTATGCCATAAAACATCCAGAAAGCGCAAGGTGTCGGGAGGGAGCGCTTCAAAATAGCTTGTGTCGGTGGGAAACTCGTGGGGGTCTTTAAATCATTCTGGGAAAAACGGTGTGTTAACAAACTGGGGATCCCGGAGGATTTCAGGCGATGGAAAGCAGAGTCCGACCACGGTGTGGTCGCAATGGCTGTTCGGCGTGGGAGCCGAGACGGGGAGGAGGCGCGTAGCTGGCCGGGGCAGCCTCCGCAGTGGCCACGGGGCTGGTGCCGGGCAGGAGGGACACGCCTGGTGGATGTGCTCACCTGGACTGACAAAAGCTTCTCTGTCCCCTTGTAGGCCACCACCTCCGCAACAGAAGTGCGCACCTCAGGGACCTCCTCCATCACAGCAAAAATGTTTACCTCAGGGACAGTATTTTCCTTCTCGACCGGCACCTTTGCCTCCCAAATAGCTTTGGGCTTCTTCGGGCCTTCGCGTGAGCTGACCTGTTCACTGAGACGGAGCTGAGATGGCAGTTCCCCTTCTTGCATTGAGCGGCCCGTGGATATCCCGGAGAGCCTTCTTCTGCAGCCTGGGATAAGGCCAATGAGAGAGTGAAACGAGGAATGTAAAACTTTAAACTAAATACCTCTACCAAAGCTACAGGAACTGAAAACATCAAACCCGGTCTTAGATCCGTCTGAGTAGTGTGGCTTTGTGACGCGCCGCAGGGCTGTCCAGCTGCAAGCGCAGCAGCCTGCAGTTAAATAATCTTTAAAGTACAGCACTTGGGAGTTGCTTCTGGTTTCCCCGTTTCTGCCATGAGCCCTAATAATGAAATTGTCTGATTTGTTGTTGTCTCTCTCAATGTACAGTGAGGAATTGAAGTGAGTCATGTCGTTCTCCGAACAAGGAAATCTGGCCAACGTAAAATTACTTTGCATGGACTGGAAAACGGTTTCCATTTATGCATTAATGGCACAAGTGAAATAAGGTATCAGTGTACTTTTTCAGAGGAAGATAAATATATTGTAAACATGTTTATGCATGTATATATGTTTATTGGTGTGTAATAAGGCACTTAAATTCTTACTTTCATGCTGACTGACTGACACTAAGCTGTGCTACATGAGCACTAAGCGTAATAGTTTTAAATTAGTAATTGTGAGTCGGTAAATGAGAATCCTGTACTAATTTCCACTAATATCACGAACTACAAGACAGGGAACTGCTGGAGAGAGTCCAGCGGAGGCTACGAAGATGCTCAGGGACTGGAGCATCTCCCTTGTGAGGGAAGGCCGAGAGCCGTGGGGCTGTTCAGCCCGGAGAGGAGAAGGCTGAGAGGGGATCTCATCAATGCTGAGCAATATCTACGGGGTGGGCGGCAAGAGGATGGGGCCAGACTTTCCAGTGGTGCCCAGCAACAGGACAAGGGGCAACGGGCACAAACTGGAACACGGGAAGTTCCATCTGAACATGAGGAAAAACTTATTTCCCTGAGGGCGGCAGAGCACGGGCAGAGGCTGCCCAGAGAGTGTGGAGTCTCCTTCTCTGGAGATGTTCAAACCCGCCTGGACGCCGTCCTGTGCGACCTGCTGTGGGTGACCCTGCTCTGGACTGGGGGAGCTCCAGAGGTCTCTTCCGACCCCGACCACTCTGGGATTCTGTGACTGGGCAATGAAAATAAAGGTACGAAAAGACATGGCCACATTTTGGTTTTAACAAATGGGGTGCTGTTAGGTTTTAATTTGGGTCTAAAGACTGATTAACAGTCCCTGCAGAACATTGAGAAGCAAAAACTCTCTCTGCTTAGGCCAGCCGAGCTTCTCGGAGCACTTTAAACAGGAACCTGTTGACTAATGCAAACTTCTCACCTAGTCCTCCCGGTTTAGTGTCAGTCAGGATGCTTACAGCCTAACTTGCATTAGACTGGACTGCTGCCCGTTTCCACACCACTGACTAAACTAGATTTGAAAACTCTCTGAAAAGGAGCGTTTAGCATTTGGTGTGCTGGCCAAGGAGCTCTCTTAATCGTGGTACCGTCGTGCCGTGGGTAGAAGCTGGCTGCTGGTGGTCACAACTAGAAATCTCTTGCACAACCTTGCAAAAAGTGAAATAAGTACTGGAAAGAGTACTTGGCGTTTTCACTTTGTGCTAGCCACCGAGCGCAAACTCAAATCTGTAAAATCCCCCATAATACTGCCTCCCCAAAATCTTTTCCTTTGTATATACTTATATAAATATATATATATAGTGTTTGCAGTAATAAAATACTTGAACTCCTGTGGTTTCCCATAAACTTAGACTAAGATTTATAACACTATTAAACTATGTAAAATGTCACCTAGAATATCAGCAGACGTATGTGTGGGGGTCTTCTGTTGGTTCCAGGATAATCACATCCTCACTTTTGTTGTATTCTGCTCAGTTTGGGCTGTCTGTCTGTCTGTCTGTGGGGATTGGCTCCGCGGCCGAAGGAGGCGGCTGTGGTGGGAGTCCCTCCGGCCGCGCGCGCTCGCGTGGGCCAACTCGGAGGGTGGGGAGGAGAGGAGAGAATCCAGGGAATGAGGTCATCCGACGGAGAGATGTACTTCGTTGTATTTGAAGCTGTATGTGTGAACTAAATCTATGCTGAAAATGGTGCCTTTTAATAGATAAGAGTTTTTATACTTCCAGCGTGCACGCTAGCAATATTTGCAGGGTGGTGGTGTAGGGCAGTGAACACGGTTTTTAGAAGCGATCCTATGGAAAGGAAATAGCTCCAATTTTACATGTGTTGAATATTGAAGATGACTACTGACTTTCTTTTTTAAAGTGTATGCTTGTCCCTGTCCCCGAGGCGGTCTGGGGAGAGCGCAGGCCATGGCCGTGTCCGACACGTGTTTAGACCTTTGCCCTCTCTCGAACCGTCCCCGCTGTGTGCGGCGACGCGCGTCGCTCCTGTACCGTCGGGCTGTGACGAAAGGGCTGTTACCGACTCCCTTTGTAAGAAACAAACGAGCAATAAAGATGCCGGTTTTGTACAAGGTGCTCTCTCTCTCCTCTGCCTCTGCTTTGGGGGGCGGGTGGGGCCGTTACCGGCAGTTACCGGCAGTTACC